CTTTTGATCTCCAGCAATTCCTGTCATTTTTTTTTAACCCACAATGCCTGTGTCAGACCACTGTCTTTTGCCAGTCATAATCATGACTGAGTATATGTTTGTATTTGGGGTTTTTAAAGGGGTTTATCATTTAAGTTGCACAGTAATAGTTTAGGAATTCTTTCTTTTCTCTGACAATTGTTAAAGTTAAGTGCGTAACAATAAATAGTTATTTTATGCTAATTATAAAACGTGCTGTGAATTACATCTGTCCTGAATAGCAGTCAGTCAGGTAAACTGATCAGCTTCAAAAAACAGAAATTGCTGGAAAAGCTCAGCAGATCTGGCAGTATCTACGGAGAGAAATCAGAGTTAATGTTTCAGGTCCAGTGTCAGAAAAGTTGATCAGGTTGGTGGTCTCACTGGGATTTTATGCACTTTGTGATCTGTCTTGAAACAGTGGGACATGATGATCGACACACTCATTCCTGTCATGACACACTGCACACACCTTCCATCAAAGGCTCATGGTCTCCCGCATTCATTCTTACATGCACCATCTTCCCTCAATTGCTGTCACACCTCCACCCAACTCCTTTGTCAGCTCCAGCTGCGATGGTTCACAACAATGTAGCACACTCTATGTAGTGTATACTGTAAGGCGTCAGAGAGGTTTATGCATTGACCCTTCATCTTCAGGAGGCCTATGGTCATGGTGAAGGCATGAGCAGCATTATATCTTCATTCTGCATCAGTCTGACGTTTTGCAAAGCTGTTATCTGCCATGCATGAAAGTGTTATCCCTTGTCTCCCAGAAGTCATTTCTGTGTGGCCCAAGGTCCCTGGAAGTAAGGAGCTGGAAGCTTTGAGTTACTTAATGTGTACACATCATGTTAGATCGCTGGATATCTAGTGCAGGCCTCCAAAATCTGGCATTGATAGTCACAGATGCATTGACCAGTGATGGACTATATGTCGTCTTTTGTTGATGAACTCTACAGGCTGGTGATAGCATGCTCTTAAAGCAATGAAATCTATAGCACTGGTCATTTGGAATAAGGCGCTAATGGTTGAGACTCCCACTGCCCAGGCTGCATGACTTCCTTTGTCATGGGGCAAGAATATATTGTAGCTGTGATCTGGAGAAAATGGCAGTTAGGTTCGTAGATGCAGGGTTGTATAATTCTTCTCCATCCTCCTTAGATGATTGTCATCTACTGCCTCTCCAATTGCAGGTTATGTGAAAACCACTGGAGGTTACTGTTCTTGCTGGGTTCACTTACAATGTTGTAATGGCGTCTCCTTTACATTGTCTTCACATTTGAAGCAATGCTGCAAGGAGTTCAGTCACAGTGATGTCTGTGTTAGATGCGTGAGCAGATTATGGGTGAAATGACAGGAAGAGAACTATTTCACTAACAATATTCTAAAATCCTCACATCAATAAGAATGAGGCCTTGTGGTATGTCCTGACACAGTGTGGCATGGAGGTTTTGCAAGGACTTCAATGTCATGCCTTGATAAGGAGCTCCAAGATATGTAACCTGATCCAAATGTATGTTTCATGAACAATGTATCATTGCTACATTGGGGGACTGGAATTCCAGTAAGCCATTGTGATAGACTCCACCCACACCAGGGAAAAGCCATGACTGCATGTCATAGACCATTTCCTTGAGCTTTTACAGGTCAGTGTATGAATGTAGCAGCTCTGATAGTCCCATGATAGTTATGAAATATATTTCAGAAATACCAGGCATGGTTGACACAGCCTTCTATCTCAAATTACTGCCTTTTATTGTAATCATTCCTTCAGTGATCCAATCCAATGAATGTCTATCCTAGATTTGAGTTGCTACTTTCCCCATACTTCACGGATTCTCCTTGAAAAGGGCCATAAGCATTACTACACAAACCCACAGGAGTGACCATGGCCCAAGTCAGGATTGAATTGGTAAGGCAGCACATCCCACTCCCTGGACTGAAAAGCTAAATTCCACTAATTATCTTCCTGCTGCATGGGGCCCTGCGGTCTGTGCGCATAGCAGGTTCCAAAGCCAAACCTCCACAAAACTAGAGGGAACAGTGCTCCACAGCACCCTGACTGACCTATCAATAATCCCAGAATGGTTGTATTTGAGCTGCAAGGCTGATTGTGGCCTAATTCCCAGGATCCTTGAACTCTGGTGGGACTGAAAATCTGATAGACAATGGCCAAAACTCCTGTAATCAGACCTGCCACTTGACTGACTATGGCAGCGGCGGCAGATGACTGACCATCATCCCTTATGACTCCCTACAAAGGCCTGTCTGCATTGACTTTCAAACATGGCCAATTCCTTGAACTACATGCAGTATGTTTGCTGAGTAAGCTGCTGATACTCACTGTAGATGTGATGTTGATGTAGCATGGTGTGGATAGGCTGGGACTTTCTTTTCAGAGGTTGAGGGGTGACCTTATAGAGGTTTATAAAATTACAAGGGGCATAGATAAGGTGAATAGCCAAGGTCTTTCTCCAATGGTAGGGGAGTCCAAAACTAGAGGACATAGGTTTAAGGTGAACGGGGAAAGACTTAAAAGGGTCCTGAGGGCCTACTTTTTCACATAGAGGGTGGTATGTGTAGGGAATGGGCTGCCAGAGGAAGTGATAGAGGTGGGTGCAATTACAACATTTAAAAATACATTTGGATAGGTACATGAATGGGAAAGGTTTAGAGGGATATGAGCAGGCAAATGGGACTAGTTCAGTTTAGGAAATCTGGGTCAGCATGGACAAGTTGGAATGAAGGGCCTGTTTCCATGCTGTAAGATGCTATGACTCTATTCAGTGATCTGAGTTGTAACATGCTGCACCAAAAAGCAATGCGAGCCAGAGGCTAACAGGCTGCATGGAACCACCAAGAAATGAGTGCTAAGAAATGATTCAAAGAGCCATAACAATGCACAAAATGCATCTATCCCTGCTTGCAAAACAACTTGGCAGAAGAATGCAAGTTGTAGCTGTCTTTGAATTCCAAAGTCCTGAAAGGATGCAGTGTTGTGAGAGTTGGACTGACAACAGGCATGATAATGTAGTGAGGTTGGTGGTTTGCTGATGTCGAGTGGTGTGGATGGAGGCTGGAGATGGACTGTGTCCATGGAACATGCAGGGAAATTGTGTTGAAGAGAGTTGGATGATGGCTGGGACAAGCTGTTGGAAAGCTACAGCTACCAGATACTTGCTCTGACTTTCCTGTTGGAAATTTTTGTCATCCAGTTTTTCAGGGAAGGGTGAGGAGAATTAAAAGTGGCATACATACGTAAGTTGTGTCAATATTAAGAATTTAAATGCACAGGAGAAATAAGATCATCACCACCTAATAGCAAGATTCTGAAATCATCATTTCAAGTTTAAGAGTAAAATCAGAAATTTTTTCTTTGCCAGTATTCTGTATTTTTCACTTTTGACATATTCTCCCAACATTTTCGTCAGAGCCCACGCTGCTCTAAGGAGGGGAAGATTTCACCCCATGGACAAATGCTCATTGATTTGCTTTGATAATGTTGGTTGAGGAATAATCATTAGGCAGGAAAATGAAAAGAAAGCATCCTGTTTTCAAAAGGTAGCACAATACACTTTTAGGTCCACTTGAACAGGCTTCAGGAGCCCAGCTGATCATTTCATTCAACAGATGGCATTGGCTCCAAATACTCATTCAATTTTATATTCTAAAATCTTAATTGAAAGTACTCAAATGGAACTTGAGCCTTTTAGAAGAAACATATCCAGAGGGGACTTCACAGGATGGCTGCAGAAAGGGGTTTTCCAATGCAGAGGAAGTGAGAATTCCATTGATCCATAGAATCTGTACAGTGTGGAAACAGGCCCTTTGGCCCAACGAGTCCACACTGACCCTCAGAGCATCCTACCCAGACCCATCCTCCTGTAACCCACCTAATTTATACAATCCCTGAACACTGGGCAATTTAGCATGGCCAATCCACCTAGCCTGCACATCTTTGGACTGTGGGAGGAAACCGGAGCACCCAGAGGAAACCCACACAGACACGGGGAGACTGTGCAAACTCCACACAGACAGTTGCCTGAAGGGGAATTGAACCTGGGTCCCTGGCACTGTGAGGCAGCAGTGCTAACCACTGAGCTACCATGCCACGCAAGAGAGTTTTAAAAAAAGGCATCCTATTTATGATGGAAATGAAGTCAGTTTCTTTCTGAGAGTCATGAGTCTGTAATCTTGGGATTAGAACAGTCAGGTGGTTGTTTTGGATTGGTGCGGACATGATGGGCTGGAGGGTTTTTTTCTGTGCTGTAGGTCTCTATGACTGACTCCAGCTCTCTTGCCTAGAGAGCTGTGGACGCAATAGTCCTGAGGCAGAGCTAGACAGATTCTTGGTTAACAAGGGAGTCAAAGATTATTTAGGGCAGGGTGGAGAGAACAAGGAGTGGTAAATGGGAATGTGGAGTTGAAGCCTCATTCAGATTAGTCATGGTCTCAGCAACAGCATGCTCAAGGGGCTGAATGACCTACTCCTGCTTATGGTCAGTATGTTCACATGCTGATATGAGCCAAAATCTTCTGATTTAGAGGTATGAATGATCATATTGAACCAGGTAATTGTCAAATTATGGTGGATGCAACATTGAAAGTCAATTTTCTTCAAAGAACTTGTGAAAATTCTGCAGGCACACTCAAATTAGTTGAAATTGGCTTCCCTTTCCCTTGATGATTTATATATGGTTCTATGATTGCTGATTAGTTCATTTAGACTTCTGTTTGTTGGTGACCAATGTGGCTCCAAAGGGAACATTTACAGTACCATTTTCTACAGATGTGTAGTCCTTTAAGTGTTACCTCAAGTAGATAATGCCTGTGAATGACACCGTCTAATGTATTAAGATTTGAAACAGATAATGTATCTTGAAGATTTGCACAAAATAATTTGTGCTTACACAACCTTTTATTGGGGGGAAGAAGACTTACAAACCAAATGCAATATAAATAAACCACAGTCTACACAATTTAAAGACTTAGTATCATTCTTCAAATTTATTTTTTGAGAAAATAACTGAAATACAGTGAACATAATATTACATGCTAAAACATTAAAAAAAGTAATTTAAAGTCTCTTATTTTACAAAGTTTGAACCTGATTTGTTCCCATGCTGTATAGGTTTAAACTTAAACACAATCACCAAAAAGCAGTGGTTATTTTTTCCATGTTGCATTACAGTTTTGAAAGCAGTTGAATCCCTTTATTAGAATATTATCGTTTTATTGGAAAAATCACTCCTCCTGGAAATTAGCTTGATCATGTCTGGGTAAAATATTAACTATCTTCAAGAGTTAAGAATTATAATTACATTTTCTGAAATCAGTTTTGTTCCTGGAATGTAGAATTGCTTCCTTTTTCATTTTGATATGTTACTCCTGGTAACAAAAGAAGAAAAAAAGTCAAAGATTGAAACAACAAACTAACACTGAAAGTTTTCTATTCCTCATAAATCAAGAAGAAAACCTATCTCTTTAAAAACAATACACTACCAGTTTATTGCAAGCTGATACATGAGTGTGATTTCTTACATTCGTTGAATGTTGTGACATAATAAACAAATCTGGAAACATATTTGAATGATCATTTCTAGTGAAAGTGCAGTCAAATTGAGTGTCATTTCATTCCACGAGCAATACTGACTAGAATAAATCAGACCTCTTGTTTATGATGCACTGCCATTACCTACTAATGCCTTGTAATATTTTCGCTATGTTAATAACAGCATGTAATGCAGATTGTTGTCATTGACGCTGTTACTTAATTGCTCTTAAGCAATGGCTGCAGTGCTTTGAGCATGGAAGCTCCATATTATCAAGGGTGGAGGCTGGATCTTATTTTGTATCCAACGTCATGACTACATAGAAATGCAGTTCAGAAGGTGGACTATAGCACAGCTTATTAAAATTCTGTGTCTCAAGTAAATTGGGGGACATGTAAATGGAAATGCAGATGAATGATCTTAAAGCAATGCTTCTAATGTCAACAACCTATTTTGAAATGTTCTTCAGGGCATAAACTGTCTTTAAACTATAAAATTTGCTGACTCCCTAATATAAAGGTTTTTTTTCTTCCTTTCCCCTTGGTGTTCCTTGCCTTTCAACAGCCAACTCTTTAAAAGGAGAATTAAATGTACATCATGTTTTAAAAAGAAAAATAGCAGTGATTCTAGTCTGCTAGGAGCTGTATATGGAAGTCTGGCAATCCAGACCCCACCCATTTGGTGCTCCCAGCATGTCATATACTGAACATGGGAAGATCAGAAAAAAATATTTTCATGAGCTGATCATGCTTTAATGCACAAGACCAACTTGGTCTAAACTTCAGTTGTCACCATAGAGCTGAAAGGAAATGAGCTCCACAATTTAACATTTAAGGAAGCAGCAAATGAAATGTTATGGGATAAACATCTAGAAGGAAACATAGATATGATTTCCTATCAGAATACAAACAATTCACCGCTAAGTTCATTGAGATTCAAGTTAATTGAGCCTTTGTAATATCATCCCTGTCAGAGATTAATCCTTGCACAAAGTAAGAAGCCTCCACTCAATGCGACATAAAGTTTAAAAATGCAGTTTGATTCGCAGATTAACATAAAGTGAAACATCTCTACTATCCCAGATTGCTCTTCAATACATAGGTGTGTCTGTCATTGTACATACAATAGAGCAATCTAGGAAATGACACACAGTGCATAAAGTAAACAGCTGGCAATTCTGCAGCCACCTCCTAATAAATGATTGTACTGTCAAAATAAATAAAACTTAACATTTTAAATAGTTAGAAAGTAAATTCCACTGACTGTGTTACAGTTGGCTAGTTAGGTGGTATGAAATAGCCCAGGGAAGCTACTATCCCTCTAAAAGTAATAGACAATGAAATTTCAGCCCTAGTTTTAAGCTAGGATGCCAAATTGGAAGAAATAATTCCTATGTTATATCTACATGGCATTGATTATCAGATTGTATTGAAAAATTAAATATAATGTACTTTTATGTATGCAAAATGTAAGGTATATCAATGCTGGAATATTTTCCAACTTTTGTTGCATTTTTAGTCACTTGTATGTTTGACCAAATTCCCATTTAATGAAGGCAACATGTCTTTCTACACTGTTCCAACAAAATGTCTCAGCCCTGGGAAGTTTATTTTTGGCTACATCATTTCTATTTCTCTTTTCTGAATCACTGTGACTTCACCACATCAGACTGCTGAAGGGTTATTCTCAGGATCATTGTTCATTGGGAAGTGGATATTGTAGGAATATATTTCATATAAGATCCACTGAGTCAGCAGAGAGGAGATTTTAACTTATTTTGCTTTATTAGTTCTAATTTGAGACTAAGATCTTAGCTGAAAAGTCAGTTCGATAACCCACAATGCCATCTCAGTTGTATTAGATGTGTGAGCTGAAAGTAAGTATCCATGCAATTGAAAGAAGAAACACAAAATGAATCCAATGTAAAATTCCTGCATGTTAGTCATAGCAAGTTAGTTTCACCTATTAGGGACATGCATTAATAGCATGCAACTACATGCAGATTCAGTCCAGACATGTTAGTCACCTAAAATTTTAGACAGTTGAAGAGTGAGACAGACATTATTTATACTTAAAAAAGAGACACTTCCTTACTTTGCGTGGAGCTCTTTCTGAAAGAAGAACATTAATCATGTGAATATTTCTAGTTCACCATAAACAAGCTGACCATGTTTACTGTGTAAACAATATTTTCAGCAATTCAAAATTATTCTGTAATTATTCTACATATTCCATTCCACAAAACAGGGTGCACAAATTAATCAGTTACTGGTACCACATATTTTGCAAATATCAGAAGTGCTACGAGAAAATCAAGCTTTCATGTTTTCTTTTAAAGTTATCTTTTATGATTCAACATAATGAAATGTAAGTTATTGTTGCTCGTCATATGGCAGGATTTAAATTAAATTTCAAAGAGTCTATAACAATATTTGCAATAGATTAGGATCTTCAAAACTCCTACTTGGTGCTTGGTTGAAAATGCTAAATGAAATATTCACTAGCAGTATAACAAATACATTTGATATTACCTCGACAGCAAAGGAGGTTTTAACAAGTAGTAATGTTGTTAATATTACAATAAATTATAGAACTGTTGAAGGGTCACTGGACGCAAAATGTTGGCTTTTCTTTCCTTCCACAGATGCTGCCATACCTGCTGAGTTTCTCCAGAAATTTGTTTCTGTTGGTAAAACTTTTATAAGCCTATGATAACAGAATATGTTGTTGATAATGGTTTATTCTTTGTTTACAAATCTAATAGGCACCTCGAATAGATAACATAGAGCAATAGAGCACAGGAACAGGCCCTTTGGCCCATCGTGTCTGTGCCAACTACTGTGCCATTCTGAACAAATCCCAACTGCCTGCATATGGTCCATTTTCCTCGATTCCCTGCCTGTTCAAGTGTCTGTCTAAATGTGTCTTAGCTGTTGCTGTTGTATCTGCTCCTATCACCTCCCCTGGCAGTGTGTTACAGGCACCTATCACTCTCTGTGTAAAAAATACTTGCCTCACACATCTCCTTTAAACTTTTCCCCCTCTCAGCTTAAACTTATGCTCCCTATCATTTGATACTTCCACCCTGGGAAAAAGACTTTAACTATCCACACCTCTCATAATTTTGTACATTTCTAACATGTTATCTCTCAGCCTCCAATGCTCGAGCAAAAACAGTCCAAGTTTGCCCAACCCTTCCTTATAGCAAATACACTCCAAACCAGGCAACATCTTGACAAACATCTTTACACCCTCTCCAAAGCTGCCTCATCCTTCTTGTAGCGTGGCGACCAGAACTGCACACAGTACTCCAAATGTGGACTAACTCAAGCTGCGACATGACTTAACAAGTACTCTCAGAAAATGGGTCTAGGGCCTAGGGTCTATGCCCGAAACATCAGCTTTCCTCCTCCTCTGATGCTGCTTGGCCTGCTGTGTTCATCCAGCTCTACACCTTGTTATCTCAGATTCTCCAGCATCTGCAGTTCCTACTATCTCTGTGACATGACTTGCCAACTTTATACTCAATGCCCTATCCAATGAAGGCAAGCATGCCCTTTTTACCACCTTATCAACTTCATTGCTACCTTTAGGGAACTATGGAGTTGCATCCCAAGATCCCTCTGTATATCAACGCTCCTAAGGATCCTGCCACTTACTGTATACATCCATCTTGCATTTGATGTCCAAAATGCATCACTTCACACTTGTCTGGATTAAACTCCGTCTCCCATTTCTCCACCCAAATTTCCAATTGATCTATTTCCTGCCCTATCCTTTGATGACGTTCCTCACTAACCACAACTCCACCAATTTCCATGTCATCTACAAATTTATTAATCAGATCACACCCATTTTCATCCAATTTTCTTTTTATTCATTTGTGAGTGTGGATGTCGCTGGCTGGCCAGTATTTATTGCCCATCTGTGTTGCCCTTGAGAAAGTGATGGTGAGCTGCCTTCTTGATCCGCTGTAGTCCACTTGCTGTGGGTTGATCCACTAATGCCCTTAGGGAGGGAATTCCAGGATCTTGACCCAGGGACAGTGAAGAAACTGCTCATTCACATACATTACAAACAACAGAGGTCCCAGCACTGATTCTTGCAGAATGCCACTGGTCACAGACCCCCAATCAGAAAAACACCTCTCCACAAGTACTCTCTGTCTATGACGGTGTCAATTTTGAATCCGTCTTACCATTTCACCATGGATCCCATGTGACTTAACCTTCTGGACCAGCGTGCTATGACAGACCTAGTCAAATGCTTTAGTAAAGTCAATGTCGGCTACATCCTCGGCCCTACCCTCGATCATTTTTGTCACTTCCTGAAAAAAACCCAGTCAAATGTGAACAAGACCTCCCCCACTCAAAGCTATGGTGAATATCCTTAATATATCCATTCTTTTCCAAATGTGAATAAATCCTGTTCACAAGAACCTTCTCTAATAATCTCCCTACCACAGATGTAATGTCCACCAGCCTATAATATTCTGGGTTATCCCTAGTGCCCTTCTTAAAAGATTAGCACTACTTTTCCTTCTTTGTTACTTTAGCCCGGTATTGATGCGTGCAGGTTTGAGTGTAATATTTTCTGAGATAATGAGAGGTGTCATGCTTTTCTAATGATTTTAGCACTTTATCTCTAAGGAATCTTCAGTAAAATCTTGTAACAAATTAACATGTTTAAACAAAAAGCTTAAGGTATAAAATATAAACAAAACACAAATGCTGAGAGATATTCAACTGGTCTGGCAACATCTGCGGAGAGTAACAGAGTTAATGTTCCAAGTCCGGTGTGTCTCTGAACATAAGATTTAAAACCTGAATTGACCTAAGCTTGAACACATTCAGAAAGGGAACTGCATGAACTATATTAATCTATTGTTCACTGGCCATGTGGTGGAAATACCTGGTGCTTGTGATATGTCAAACTTGACTGATTGTAAAATGAAGAGCAAATAAAATTGATTTGTCCAAATTGAACTGAAGACATAACTGTATTTTCTGAATTTTCCATCAATATCCTACCCCAAATCAGCTTGCTTATTATCCAAGAAGATAAGTAACAACGTTCATGATCCTACTTTGAACTTTACCTTCATCCCCTTGCCTGAGGTAGTAAGACTGTTGCTTATCTGCTCATCACATGAAACTGCCACCAAGAAGTTGGGACCCAGTGGTCTATGTCTTAGCCTTTTGTTACTGATCCACTATCACTTTACCTCCTCACTGGAGCTGCTGGGAGAGGAGTGGCAATTAGTGAAAGGATTGATCATGTTGCTTTTTACTGGAGAAGGCTCAATAGCAGCCACTGTAAAACCCCTGAGTCCTCGAAAGGTCTTTTTTGTTCTTTGGCTTTGCAATTTTTCATTCTTTTGAATGGTGTTCTTATCATCTGGTGTTACCTAACAGTGACAGGCTCCAAACTGGTGGTAGAGTTCCTGCAGAAAGATCTAAAGCTGAACAACCACTGCTTCAAAATTGGGTCATACTGTGACAGTAGGTCTAGGCATGTGAGTTAAAATCCCACTTGTTATAGCGCTGACAGCAGATAGGGAGTACACCTTCTCTGTATCACTTTGCTATTGTTGAAGGACACAGCTGCCTGCTATTTAAAGATTTAGCATTGCAGAAGCCTCATCAGATGCATACTTAATCATTTTTGCATCCAAGGGGTCAGATGGGATGAATTAAATCAGCTACCAAAGACAGAGCAACAGTTAATGGACCATTCCAACCAGCCAATTTAAAACGAGAGAGGAGATGATGGATTGGAATTGTAATCACAGTCTTGAAATTTATTTACTCATTGTTCTTTCAACAGCCCGAGTTTGTTTTTATGCATAGTAAGCCTAATATACTAAGCATAGTAAGTCCTAGGCCCCGTCAAGTTCCCAAATAGGAACGGAATAAATCCAGTTTAGAAGTGGCAGGCTTGTCCCATTTTAATGAAGGCTTATGGGATTCAATCCTTTATTACGAGGGGCATTGAGCAAACTATACTCCGCTATACAGAGCATTGTTGAGAACACATCTGGAATACTGTCTGCAATTTTGGCCTCCTTACTTAAAGAAAGAATTGGTTATGGTTCTAATGAGGTTTATTGGATTGATATCTAGAATGAGTGGGTTGCTTCATAAGGATAAGTTAGCCAGGCTGGGTTTGTTTCGACTGGAGTTTAGAAGAATGAGGAGTGACTTGATTGAAGTGTATAAGATGCTGTCAGGTCTTGACAAGGTGGATGTGGAAAAGATGCTACTTTTTGGAGGGCAAGTCCAGTACTAGGGGACACTGAGGGTCGTCCTTTTATGACAGAGATGAGGAGAATTCTTTTTGTCTTGGAAGGTTGTGTGACTTTGCAAACCTCAAAAGATGGTGGAAGAGGGATAAATGACTATGTTTAAGGGGCAGGTAGAGAAGACATAGGGACCAGATGGGAATTGGAATTCAATACATAAATAGATCAGCCATGATCTTATTGAATGGCAGATCAGGCTTTTTTTTAACTTCAGGGCAGTGAATCTGTGGAATTTTCTATCACAAAAGGTTGTGAAGGTCAAATCACTGAATGTACTTACAAAATAAATAAATATAAAGATAGATTTCTAGAGGTTAAGGGTGTCATTGGGTAAGTGGTGAGAGTGGGAGTATGGACTTAAGATGGAGGCTCAACCATGATCATGTTGAATGGAGAAGTAGACTCAATGGACTGAATGGCCTGCTCCTGTTCCTATTTTCACATCCTGACCAAAACTGCAGGGACGTTATTGGAATGCAAACAGCTGGCTGTTCATTAAAATTTTGCTACTCAGAGGCAGTAAATTGGAAATGGAGGAAATATGTCCAATTCTAAAGTAATTAAATATGTGGGGTGTTTGAGGTTAAATACTTGAACAGGGAATGTCTAAGGATTCCTGGTGAGGCCTAGAGAAGCATTCCTGCTTTTTCTGAAACACAAAAAAAAGTGAAGAAAAGTTAATCCTCCTGTATCTCTTTTCTGGACATCGCTGGCAGGTCAATACTGCCAAGAATGAAGCGTAGTTATCATTGCTTCTCCACTCGATCATGAAGTTAAAATTGCTGGTTGTGCCCTACTTACAAAATACAA